GAAGCGGATATCGTCCTCTTTTGGAAGACCAAACAAAGTAGTTTCGCTTTCACAACGAAACACACAGCGCCTTCACGACATGGCGGCGGCGGCAAAAACAATACTACAGCAAGAATAAAAGTTACGCCTCCTTTCTTTGCGTGAACATTTGGGCGGCGTTATGCAAATCTTCCCACATCGTGACATAGACATGTGGGCGTGTGTTAGAACGAGGTGTTTTAGGTAGGCGTGGCTGACTCTTAACTTTTATAAAGAATATCTCTTTGGATTTGAGACTTTAGTCTTTGCAACTTTACAGATCTTCTTTATGCACCAAGAGCTTGTAACACTCCAAAGAGAAAGGAAAAATTTAAATAGCTTCATATGACCCCTTTAATGAGTTTGCAATGTAAGCAGCATAAAATATGCAAATGCATTAATATTTACTACATGCACAAGCATTGACATGCATACAGTCAGACATACAGTAAGATATCATACTATGTTGGCAGATAAAACACAAATGTCAGTGGTGTCCCACAAGGCTATGCATTAAGACCAACAAAGTTTAAGGGTTCAGGCATTTAAAGTAATTTATAGGGCATTTCTGCACAGCTTTGGAGAAAATTTCCCAAATTAAAACGCAATAGCTCAAAATGATATAAACAAAGAGGCATACAATTAATCTCTGGAAGACAATAAGCAGGTCTATCTTCAGATCATTTAGCCACAAAGCTCAACTTTATGCATCTATAATGTAACTACTCATGTTATTACAGCATTAATAAATTATTAAGCATGTAAAGCATCTGTCTGAGACTCTGTACCCATAACAACCCATAGAAAATACGAAAAATTAAAGCACAAATGGCTCATATTGAGTCTTTTAATCTCTTTGACATCTCAAACAGGTAATGAGCCGGTTGATCAAATGACATTAACACAGATCTCTGGATATTTAAACAGTATTTCAGTGTTTAGATGGGCTATAAACAGGCTTTATTCTACCGATTGAAATGTCACAGTGTGCCCGCTTAAGGACGCACTGTCATCCGGCGCCGCAGCCGAACCGACACCGCGGCTTCAGCTCCACAGGCCTCACCGGCTCTCCACAGCTCCTGCCGCCCTTTACTACACTCAATAACGCACATGCCGGTCCTATAGCACTAGTCAGACCCGCTATAAGCTCAGGCGTGTGATGTGAATCTTACCGTAAATGGGTCGCAGTCTCCTGTCGTTGGGGTCTTGCACATGGCCCCTCGCCGCCATGATGGAGCTGAGCAGGATTAATTGGTACGCATGCGCAGAGCGAGCACTCCGGAAAGACTTTAACAGGAGCACGGAGTCATGTGTCATTCATTCATCGTCACTGTAAAAGACACATCTGCATTTGTGCGGTGGTACGATCATGTTTTAAGACGTATATTTTTGCTCTAGCAAAAAAATTAGGAAGTACTATGGTATTGTTTAAGCAGGGGTTTTCTAAATGGGGTCCGAGACCCCCATGGGGCAGAAAGGGAGTGCTAGGGGGTCTGTTGAAATATTTATTGAAAAACCGTGTAAAAACGTAAATAAATAGATACATTAAAATAAAATTAAAATAAACAGACAAATAAAATATTATATTTATAAAAAAATCAAATAGATTACAATAAAAAAATTAATTGATTAAATAAAATTTTATTTAAAATAAAAATTTAAAAAATAAAATTACATAAAATAAATAAAAATTGAGTAAAACAATAAATAAAAATAGCTTAAAATAAGAAAATAAATGACTAAATAATAATAAATGAATAAAGTAATAAATGAATAAGTATTGTACAACTGTACTGTATATTGAGACTGATTTATAATATTATTTTTTTCACAGTAAAAGTTGGTCTTTATGCAAGAAACATTTTTTTGTCTTTTTGTATGTGGGCCAAATGAAATGACACACAACTGAGTGTTTTTCATTATTTACTTATTTAATTATTTTTTTTTGCTGTGTGCCTAACACTATCTTTTCCATGTAATTTATAAATGCACTGTTGGTAACAGGAAATATATAGATCATATATTTATAGAAATAGCTGCAATATAACAAAGAGTGAAAAATTTAAGGGGGTCTGAATACTTTCCGTACCCACTGTATTTCAAAGAGAGCCTTGAAAACACTTACTTTTCCAATAGAAATGTTTATTTATCATATTTGGACATTGATGTATATGGTTGATAATTAATACAGAAGCGCTTTTGTTAAGAATGCATCCTTCTTGTACAGTACACAGACAATCAGAATGAAAATGACACCGCTGATACAGCATATTTGCATATTTAAATCAAATGACAGTCAATTTAGGCACATAAAGTCACAGAAATGACAGTTCATTCTCCGTCTCCATCAGAACTGTTCGCCTCTGCTCGTTTGGGATGTGAGCTGCCCGCTGAACTCAAGTGCTTGTCAAAGTCCTCTTCACTGATCTTTCCTTTCTTGAGTTTCTTCAGCAGACGCGTGTCATTTAAAAGCTCGTTTAAGTCTTCTTCGTCAACATCTGACTCCTGTGACCACACAGATATAGCATTGAGACTTTATAGAATAGCCCATTCGCTACATTTACAGCTGTTTACAGAGTTTTCTATTGTTATCCATGTACCTTCTATATTCAGTAAAAATATGCAAACAGGGAGTTTTTGGATTTTAAAGGAATAGTTTACCCAAAACAATTCTGAAAATGTACTCACCCTCAGACCATCCAAGAATTTTGTTTCTATATCAGATTTGTAGAAATGTAGCATTGCATCACTTGCTCAGCAATGGATGCTCTGCAGTGAATGGGTGCCGTCAGAATGAGAGTCCAAACAGCTGATAAAAACATCACAATAATCCACACCACTCCAGTCCATCTTGTGAAGCCAAACAAATCAAAACAAATCCTCCATTAAGTCATTTTTAACTTCAAACTATTGTTTCTGGCCAAAAGACCTCTATCCATAATATTGCTTTTAACAGTAAAAAAGTCATCTGGCCTGAATCAGGAGAGAAATCTGCACAGATCAAGAGCTGTTAACAAGCCAAAGCAGTTCTAAACAAATATGTGGGGGGATTTTGATGTGAGAGGACAACAGGAGATGGAGGAAGCGTTATTATGGACTCATATTTTGGCCAGAAGTGACAGTTTAAAGTTAAAGATGACTTAATGATGGATTTGTTTCTTACAAACACGCAGCTTTTCACTTCACAAGACATTAACTGATGGACTGGCGGGATGTGGATTATTGTGATGTTTTTATCAGCTCTCATTCTGACGGCACCCATTCACTGCAGAGCATCCATTGCTGAGCAAGTGATTCAATGCTACATTTCTCCAAATCTGATGAAGAAACAAACTCATCATCATCTTGGATGGCCTGAGAGTGAGAACATTTTCAGCAAATGTTTATTTTTTTGGGTGAACTATTTCTTTAACGCAAACAAATGAGTAACATACCTCATCCAGTTTTCTTTTGGCAGCCTTCTTTTTCTTTTTATCCTTCTTGTTCTTCTGCTTCGACCAGGCTTTGTTCTTGATGAAGTTCCTCTTTAATGGCATCTCTTTTTCTTTCAGCTCCGCCAGCCTTTTTTGTCTCTGTTTTTCCCTGTTTTTATCTTTAAAGCGGATGGTGTCTGTGTCGATGGCCTCCTGTTTGAAGTCCGGGAAGGTCTTTCCTCTTAGTTCAGGCATTTTGGGCAAACGGAGGAGAGCAAAGCCACGGGCCAGAGCAGCAAAATCCAGGTCTGGACAAGGTATATGTCAGGTGAATTATCTTGGTTAAGTATCTTATGAAAGGTTTAAAGCAATGTCACTCACCTTTAATGCGAAATATCAGACTACACTCATGTTTGGCGTACGCCTGCACACACGACACAAAGGCTTTCATGCCCTTCTCAAACATGGCTCTGTCACCTAAAGCCATCGCCTTCAGTTTAGGCAGAACATCAACCACGTCTTTCACTGGAGGATACGTCTGAAGAGGACACTGTGGGAAAACGCAACTACTTTACCACCTTAAACTCGAACATATAGAATACAAAATATTGAGAATGCATTAATATTAGGCACTTAAATGCATGTCTAATGCATGAATGTGATTTTTTTTTAAAGCCTAATTTCGTACCCTATTTATATAAGCTAGACACTCCATCTGATAGTTTGTGTATGAAATGAAGTTTCTCTCTGACTTACCTTTTGATTAATGGACAAGAAATTTACATACGACTCTTCCATTGGCAGAAGAAAGACGAGTGCGTTGCCCTGGTTTCCGATTCGTGCAGTTCGTCCACACCGATGCACAAAGGAACTAATGGAGTGAGTATTCAATTTGATGAGAAAAAATGAGCAATATATGCACAAAGCATGCAAATAGTATGTCACCTTTAAACAGTTTAATTTCAGAGTTATTTTTTATACAATTATAGTATTTATTAATATTTTAATTAGCTTTTATTTTTATGTTTCCATTGTAACTTTAGTAATTTTGTTATGTGCTTGTCATTTTAGTTTTTTGTTTCTTTAGTATTTCTATATAACTTGAATTTATTTTGATTTCAGTTTTAGTAATTTCACTTTAAACCTTTTTATTTCAGTGTCAATTTTTTTACCAATATTTCTATTTTTGTTTATTTGAGCTTTATTTAATTTACTGAACATTATTTTTTAATAGCTTTAGTTAACAATAACAACAATGCTTTGAAATGCATTGATTAAAACAAAGTGTTGATACTTAATTTAATAAATTTAATTTAAATTGAATAAAAGCAGTACATGACATTAGGCATTTTGCAACTATGTTTAAGAGCAGGTTTAAAATAAACTAGAGCTATATGCATATGTTTTATTTCCTCTATCTATATGTTGCCAGGGTTGAGAGTGACATTAAAATATGTGTAAAGTATGTGTAATTATGTATATATATTATATTAGTATTAGTAATGTAGGGTTGGTGGAATGTTTTTGTTTTTTTGTTAAGAAAAGCATTTTTAGGTTCCTATGAATTAGCATATACTATACTCTGTATGTACAATGCATATTTTATCAGCTTTTTTTTTTTGGCTGGAATCATGTTTTGTGTACTGTCTTTATCTAAACAAACCAATAAATAAATAAATATGCTAAAGTTTAATATTTAATGTTAGGGGTTTGTTCAATTCATTAGGTATGAGCAATATAGTGGTACATGACAAACCACTAACTGCATGACTCTACAAGCACTAATCAAAACATAAAATAAATCATGTAATAAACTATTCCAAGCTTTTGTGAATGTAGTACATACTTCTGAGCTCAAGCGTGTTCATGAATGTCCTGGTTACCTTGCACTGCTTGGTGGGTCGTACTGAAGCACCCAGTTCACTTCTGGGATGTCGATGCCTCTGGCCATGACGTCTGTGCACACGAGAATCCCACTGCACACATCCATAATGCATTTATTCTTGGTCTTTAACTTCCTCTTTGTAAACAGCTAGAAAGGCATCACACTACATTACCTCTTCAGCGCCCGGAAATCTGCAAAGATCTTGTTTCGTTTATGCTTCATCTTCCCGTGGATGCAGTGGATGCTGACATTCTTGATCAAGCCTTCCAGGGCTTTACCGAAGTACTCCACACAGGCACAGGTGCTGTGGATATACAGAGAATATGATGATGTTAAGATGGCTGAACAATATTAATTACATTACATAAATTTGGAATAATTATGTTTTTGTAAGACGTCTCTTCTGCCCACTAAGGCTGCTTGTATTTGATAGTAAATACATAATTATGAGTATCTGATACAGCAATATTGTGAAATATTATTTATTACAGTTCACAATAGCTGTTTTCTATTTGAATACATGTTAAAATGTAATTTATTCCTGTGATGCAAAGATGAATTTTCAGCATCATTACTCCAGTCTTCAGTGTCACATGATCTTCAGAAATCATTCTAATATGCTGATTTGCTGCTCAAGAAACAGTTCTCATTATTATCAATTTTAAAAATGCTTTTTGTGGAAGTTAAAAAGATAAAAGTATGGGGTACGTCACTCTTTGAAAAAAAAGAAGATACTTTTATTCAGCAAGGATGCATTAAATTGACATTAAAAACATTTGTAATGTTACAAAAGATTTCTTTTTCCAAAAAAACCCAAAACTTTCTTTTAAATTCTCTATTCATCAAAGAATTCTGAAAAAAAAAGTATCACGGTTGTATCACTCAAATATTAAGCAGTAATAACGGTTTTCAACACTGATAATAATACAAAATATTTCTTGAGCAGCAAATCAGCATATTCGAATGATTTCTGAAGAATCATGTGACA